ATGCTGAATGCCCTGTCGGCCATGCCTATACAAGGCGACAGTTTTGTCTGCAACAACTCCCGGCACTCCATGCTGAACGACCTATTCCGAAGAATATGAAATGATGTCGATATGACTCGATAATCAGCTGGCGAATTTCCATCCACCACCACCACTTCTCAATCAATTCTACACTCGTTCGCCTGTTCCCAATCGATGATGAATGATGCTTCAACATACAGCTAGTCGAAAGGGCCGTCTAATGCGCCGAATGACCTGTCGACCATGCCTATACGAAGTGACAGCATCAACTGCAGCAACTTCGGAAACTCCGGGCGGAGTGATTAAGAGGGGTGGTAGTGGAATTCGGCCAGCTAGTCGAAGGGTCCGTCTAATGCGCCGAATGACCTGTCGACCTGGTTCCAAATAAGATCAAACGATGTCGATAATCAGCTGGCCGATTTCCATCCACTACCACCCCGCTTAATCAATTCAACACTCGTTCACCTGATCCCAGGCGATGATGGACGATGCTTCTGCATCTATAGTCAAAACGTCCGTCTGATGTGCTGATTCTGCTGAATGACCTGTCAAGTCCAAGCATGCCTATACAAGGTAGGTGACAGTTCAAACTAGAACGACTGCCGACTCACACAAAGGGGAAGGCGCCTATTGTTCTACACCACTAGACTACCCACCCTGCCGATGGGATAATCGGACAGCCAGCAACGATTGGCCTAAATTGGCCTGCATGAGCTGACGGATTACAGCAAAAATGACCTGAATTGGCCCACACGAGCTGTCAGATGACATTAATGATGATAACGTAAATTGGCCGACATGAGCTGAAAGTTTACATCAAGAAGAGGGTGGGTGAGAATCCGACCACGCACCTTGAGCGAATTCATACCGCGTATCAACCATCTACCCGGTGATCAGCAATCGGCGTCAGCCAGCCCATCGAGCCAGTCGTACAGGGAAGTCAATTCACCTAATTTGACACAGGCTATCTTTTTCATGGACAAGTACTTCTGGGTATCAGCACTCACCCATGCATCGAAAGAACAAAAAGATGAACCGCTGTGACTTGGGCTTGGAGCTTGCATTCCTCATAGCCTCGTACCTATTATATACCTCAGAGGCTCAGATCAGATAATCATAAAAGGCAAAGTGAATGACCACTACGGCTCCGTCCGGCGCACACCATACCCATTGAACGATTATTATCTCAGCTCACATTACACAATTGCAGAGGCACAGCTTTCCAATTGCTTGGAGGAGGCTGCATACTGCAGTGGCAACTTCCGAATTGCCTCCCAGCACACCAGGCCCTAAGCTCCTCAGCTCATCTGATTAGCCAACAATCTTTAGATTCTTTACCCCCTCGTTTAATCGAATCGACTGCATTCATCTGATCAAGCAGCAATCTACCTGACAATCTTTGTCCCCCAGGTTTAATCAAGTGGATTCCATGCAGATCATCCGCACGAAATCAAGTGGATTCCATGCAGATCCACTGGACCAGAAACAAACTGAGTTTTTACAAACGTTTTAGCCAAGATAATCTCTGAGCGCAGTGAGCGGCAAAAAAAGCAATATGACAATGTCTTCAAAATTCAAATCTAGCGCTTTGCACGCTGTTACATGCTCCGCGCTTCTGTCCCGAGAACTGGTGACACAGCGATTAATGGCACCTACCTGTAGTGTATTGTGCGCATGAAAAGCAGTCTCTTTGCATTGTACAGGGCACGCATCCTCTGTGTCTGCTGTAAATACGGCGTACGCGACCACCCGAAAGGTGCATGAAAAAGTCGCCTCCTCTTCCCATTTCTCTTTCGTGTCTTCTTCCCGCCATGCTCAACCTGCTCCTGTCACCCGTGCCAATAACAAATAATCAATCAATTAGGTTTGATGTGAAATCCTACATCTGCTTCCTTAACTGCCTCGCTTCTGCGTCTTCGTCCAACTGAAGAATCTTTTATATGTCACTCATGGTCCAACTTGGTTTCAACCAAGTGCTTTCTCTTCAACCCTTCATGATAGCGCAGGACCTACCTGTATTTTGTTCTTGACTGACCCTTGCGAGCCTCCAGGCACAAAGTTCAGCAATTCGGCGGACATCTCCGCCGAATTGCCGGACACGAAGTGGTGGCCAAAACTGCTTCAAAGTGCAACCTATTTAGAATCTCAAAAGAATCTAGTCTTATTATACGGTCAATATCCAGTTCTCCCCCTCCCCTCTCCCCCTCCTTCCTCTTTTCCCTGCACCCCGTTCCCTTTCTCAACTACTAATCATCAAACAATCATTTGGAAAAGGGCCACGAGAGCACCGAGTTACATTCGACCTTAAATCCTACGCCCTCTTCGTCAACTGCAATACATAGCAGGCATTCACTGCCCTCACCGATGTGACCATTAAATACTAGGTCCCCTCACTGCTTCCCTATTACTTTGCATGGCCAACTGCCATGTAAAGGAAGAGAACTGTGGGACCTTGCGAGCGCGGAAAGGTAAACAAGAAAATAGGGGGGAGAGGGGGGCACTATTCTTTGTACCCTCTCTTTCTCCCATCCTACGAGCCAAAGACAACTGTCGTCATAACTATCATCCCCTTCCCCACTGTCAGGTCAATCAGCTTCGTCAGCCACTGACCAGGGTGCATGTGTAACGATCCTCCTCTAGTGCTATCCTTGCGCAGGGGCCATGCTAATCTTATTTCTATCGTTCCTATTGCAACGCATGTCCGAAACACTCCCTATTCGCAGGAGCTCCGTATTGCAACAAAGCGCTATCGTCATAACTGCCCTCCCTCTTTCGCACTGAAACCAACCACTTCATCTCGCAGTTCAGCTCCCTGCTGTCTGCCAGGCCAATCACTTTTGCCGGCCATGCAGCAGAAAGCTCCTGCGAAGATCGAACCATAAGTATATTAAACATATTTATGTTCAGACTCGTGTGAAGTTCGAACCATAAGTATATTTATGCTGAACTATCTTGCGGCTCGATCATCATAAGCCATAACCATCCTCCCTCGTTCGCCCTGAAACCAACCGGACCGCTTCAGACCGCAGTTCAGCAGGATTCGTGCTCGACGGTCCTTCAACGTTGGGAATGCCATAGTTCACAGTCGGAACCCTGTACGAAGTCGTAGCTATCTATCTACCTGCAGGGAAGGGTTCGAGCTTCGTGGTTAACCCGTTTGATGGTTTAGGAAATTCACCGTAACATCAATGTAAAAGTGAATCCTGTTCTCACCCTCAACAACGAACGGGGTAAGTCCCCTTTGGGTGCGAGGCAAGCAGTCGACAGCAATGAGTCAAAGTGCATTGCAAAGATTGTCTTGCGAGTTGCAAGTCATCCGAACCTGCCGACGTCCAACAGCTCACGTTCCGTCGTAACAGCCTGCAGATACCCGGGCACGGTCTGTAGCCGAGGTGCTTGTGGCTTTTAACAATGATGAAAGTTTATCCAGGATTTCATCCGTATGCATATTAAGGAGGGGTAGAAATCCCCCCCATTCGTTGGCAGTGCGTTAACGAGGGGTAGAAAGCCCCCACATTCATCGGTAGTGCATTAAGGAGGGGTAGAAATCCCCCACATTCATCAGTAGTGTGCTTTAAGGAGGGGTAGAAAGCCCCCAAAGTCAAGGCTATAGGCTACTTCTGTAGACAGTAAAGCTCCACCCTTTGGCACCTACCTAGCCTGCAGGGTTATTGATTTATTGATAACCGACGGCTGCAATCTTAATGCTGTCAAACCATCTCAGCAGAGTCAACGCGATCAAAAACATCGCCTTTGCGACTATAACCTCTCTTCCCTCAACACCCTCCTTTCTCCCTTTCTGCTCTCTAACCCCTCTGTGACCCCCCTCTAACCCCCCCTCTCGACTCTATGCGCCTAGACAAGTTGCGAGCCATCCATCTCTCTCATTGCTTTCGCATGAAGGATGCTGCTTCTGGTCCAGAAAGGGGGGATCCTTCATTGCTTAGGCACATGAAGCATCTGGACCTGTTACTCTACAGGAGAACAGCACAGCACTCCCCCTCTCTCGCCAGGGCGGTCGGCAAAACCCTTCGTGCCTAAATCCTACAACAACTTATCTATCGTTAACACAACAACTGTACAATAAACTCGGCGATTACAGTTCTGCGGTTATCCAAACTATACCGAGGGATCTATTCTACATCTGTCGTCGAAGACAGTCATCCCTCATTCCCCCCCCATTCATCATGTAAATCTCTCACCATTTCACCGCTGAAGGGATTCTTTCTGTTCAAACTTCAACGCCATCCAAATCACTCGTCAACACAACTAACTCCAAAAGACGAGGAGTGGGCAAGTGTCGCCATCGTTGTGATATGCTCTGCAATGATGCTCCATTGCTTTAGCAGCCTCTTCTTCCGAACAAGGTCCTCTTCAATTTGCCGTGTCTGCACAATGCCAGGGCACAAGGAGACATACGCACACGAACATAAAAAACCGTACCAGAAACGACATCAGCAGCTGCTAAAAGGATATCACAGCGACGTATGCCAAGTCTGGGAAAATGATGGAGGAACAAACGCAAAAAGGAGGGAAAACAAAAAAAAAAGAGGAGTAAGAAACAGGCACAGCAGAATAACGAGAGAAACAGAGCAGGCCTATGCAGTACTATACAGAGGAGAGTATAACAGATATAGCAGAATAACAAGAGGAACGGAGCACGACTATGCAGTACTAGGCAGTTTTATTCAGTACTATGCAGTACTATGCAGTACTATGCAGTACTATGCAGGTAGCCTGCAGTACTATGCAGGTAGCCTGCAGTACTATGCAGGTAGCCTGCAGTACTATGCAGTCAGCCTGAATACTGTGGCTGCAGTGTAGCAAGCCTAACCCTCCGCCTCAGACAGCTACCGTCGTCTTCCTAGGGTTATAGACACAACAATGATAGATATGGGTCTCGTAGATCCTTTTTAGGGTTATAGACGCAACAGTAATAGATGAGTAGTCCAAATTGGAATTCTGGTTGAGAGTTTCTTTTTCTTTTTTGGAAAGCACTAATTGACCCTAGTTCCAGTCGACTTCCGCGGGTTCATTCTTGTCACTTGTTTGGATTTCTTTCGAAAATGCTGGGTTCATTTTTTGCGGCTTTAGGCAGCTGTTTTGGTCTTCTTTTGGCAATTTCTTGGGACTTCCTTGAAATTGCTTTTATCGGATTTATCCTGGTTTTATGTGGGTGGAAGGAGATGCAGACATGGGAATTTCGGTGTCATGTTCTTGATTTTTGCTTCTAATCATGCTACTTTTGGTAGAATTTTTTGTCAGTAATAGAGTAGTTACTAGTTACTAGGGAGTGATTTTTTGGGTTTTGTGATAATAGAGTAGGGAGTTTTGTAGGACTTGTGTAAGTTTTCCTTTATTTCCTTTCTACAGGGGAGGGGCTCCACCTTCTGCGTGAGGCTGGAGGCCTTGTGACCCTTGAATCTGAAACTTTTTTCGTGTTACTTTGTTTTTTTTTTCATTTAAATGAAAACTTTGAGTCGTCGACACCACTTAGGGAGGCGTGAACAGCCTATTGGTGGGGAGCAGCACCTGCGGGAAACCAGGTCCAGAGTCCCTCGTATTACAAAACATTCCCGTGACTGAGAGTGATCAGACAACTGACTTTTTTTTTTTTGGGGGGGGGAGGGGACAAATGCTCCAATCTATTTGCGGGGAGCAGCACGTGCTGGGAACCGGGCCCAGCGTCCCATATAGAATTCTCATGTACTCAGGATTTCCTATCCTTAATGTTGCATGTTGCGTGTTCCCCGAGGCGTGGAGGAGGTAGGCTGTTTGAAGGTGGGCACTGGGCCCTTGAAGCACCAGTACAGCATACATCAGCCCACGGGTGTCAGCATGAAACCCACACCACTTCGGAGGCCGCCGATTTTCTTTTCAAAGGCACCCCGCGCCGCGCAGCCCCTCCGAGTTTTGCTTGTGGCAACAAAAGATTTCTGCAAGGCTGGGGCTGTGTACTTGCGGTTTAATGCAGACTATTTTACTGTTAAAAAAAAAAAAGAAAAAAAAGATTGTCCAAAGACAGGAGGTGAAAGGTTAGACGCAGGGGGGCATAACATTGCTGATTTTCCAGGAAGTCGGATGACGGAAACCCAACTCACAATGTTCTGCCAGGTTCCAGCAGCAACCCGAGCTCCCAGGAGAAAGGCTGCAAGAGTCCAAGACCACCGTCTTGCCAATCCACCTGCACTCGATTCACCCAGTGAAAACATGCAACATTGTTAAAAGCAAATGTGTCATGGTTCTCAAAAAAAAAACAAAGAAGGTGCAATATTGTTAAAAATATAAAATAAAATGGAAGCAATCAGCCGCAGAAAGAATGACAAATAAACAGACATAAGAACGAAGCGACTGGTTTTAAGTTTTAACTAACATGGACCATGCGCAGGGATGACAAGCATACATCAAGAAATTGTAGCCCCCCCCCCAACCCACCCACCCACCCACCCACCCACCCACCCAAAGAAAAAAGGAGGACTGGTGCAGTCTCCATTGAGGAATAGGGAGAGAGAGGAGGAAAGGAACAGGTGCAATGCATCAGGAATGAAGAGGAAGAAGAGCAATGCATCAGGTACAAAAGAAAATAAAAGGAATAAAGAAACCGCCAGGCACGACTTCAGAACTGATGCCCAAATGTACTTTTTGGTGATCCTTTCGTCAGCAGCCTGCGGGGCTGTGGGAGGACACCTTTTGAGACCACCTCCAGAGGTGGTCTCACAAATTACCTTTTCTATTTTTTCTTTCTCCGTGAGGTATTTCAAGAAATCCGCGCATTAGGAAAACAGCCGTGAAGGGGGGTATCGGCATTCCACCAGCCAACAATTGCTCTTCATTTCAGAGGCCAATTGGAAGGCTTGCATTGCCCTTGTCAAAGCTTGATTTTTTTTTTTTTTTTTTTTAATGAAATAACTCTCGATGAAGTGATTAGGAATGGCGGTACGAGCGCCCATTGCTAGTCACTCCACCGGGACTCCAGCCTACTGGTGGGGAGTATCACCTGCTGGAACCCGGCTCCAGCATGAAATGGTGAGTTGAAGGCGCTTAAGAATACTGTCAGATCATCTGCAAAAGGCATAGCCGTGGGCAGGCTTATTCTCCTGCTGTCCCCAAAGTCCAGCGACTGTAGTCTTCCTATCGATCGGTCTTTCCTGAGGAATGCAGCAATTGCCTGCATGACGAAAAGGAAGATTGGGGCCGCTAAGGGGTCCCCCTGCCTTACCGATCTAGTCATCTTATAGGTTACCAACAGGTAACTGTTTACCTCTACTTTTCCTCTCATCTGCATATAGAACCTTAACCCATCGCCAGAAGTTAAGGCCTACCCCTAGTTTAGTTGATCGTACATTTTTTCAAAGTAAGAAAACAGGATAGCCGCTTGCAACTTCTTATCCCTTATCAGTTCAGTGGCCTGTTGAGACATACGACAGTGTCTAGAATGTATCGACCTGGTATGAAAACCTGTTTGACCTACATGGAAAGACTTGTCTGTGGCATTCCTGATTCTGTTCGCTAGGGCTTTTGCTAGGATTTTGTACGCTACAAGTACCAGGCTATATAGGTCTGTAGTTTCTGATGCCCTCTTTTTCTCCCTTCTTGTATAACAAGCTTACTATGCCTGTGCTGAGCTCTTCCCCCAGGCTACCCCTCTTGAAGGATTCCTGATAGTAGCAAAACAAGTCCGTTCCTAAAATTGGCCAGTACTCCTGCCAGAATTCCTTGGACGGTCCGTCCTTCCGTGGTAGTACCTTGTTTGGTTTCATAGAGTCTAGTGTCATCCGCACTTCCGGTACTGTGATGTCCCTGTCCAGGTATACCTCTGGTTTGATGTTGTTGTTCAGGTGTTTTAGGAATTTCTCCCTTGCTCTATTTACATTGTCTCCTCCCGCTGTCTGGGAGGTATACAGTTTCCTGTGGAAAATATGAAGCAATTCTCAATACAGTTTCCTGGGGAAGATCAGCATCAAGCTGAAGGGCGATTGCAAGGAAGTCTGATGGTGTATAAAACAGGCAGTGGAGAATGTGAAGACCGATATTAGTTGCCGTCAAACCACAAAGGTTGGTGAGGTTCTCAGGCTGGTTTGTTGGATGCTGGCCAACAATTTGCAGATCACCCAGGTGGTGTTGCAAGCCCAAACCGTGTTGGGTTGTTTGCTGGTCAGTCATTCGCAGATTACCCATGCGGTCTGCACGTGCGGGGCACAAAATGGTGGTTCATCCGAACAATGCTGGCCAGCCATTTCCAGATCCCCCATGTGGTCTACGCCTTGTGGGGTCAACTGCAATCCGGGAAGATCATGTTCCAGTCCCTCAATGTTTAGGGCTGCATCCTGAGAAGGGACTGTCCCTGGAGTCGGGAGTGTACTCTGGGCAGGGACCGCATTGTGTTGTACAGGTGAGTCGTGAATATCCAACGCCGGAGGGTACAAAACATGATTTAGTGGCTGCTATATATATATCGTCACAAACAGAACTGCCCGGTAAACCGTAGGCAGAGAGAGAGAAGAGGACAACAAACGAGGGGCTGTGACAAACTGTTTCGTCGGAGTTTCACCGACTCATCAGGAGGCTGAACCCTCAAC